TTTTCCTAATGTACCTCTAATAGGAAGAAAAGGTGGGAGGAACCACCCCAACTTTTCTTACAAGAGCAACAATGCTTTGTTTGCTCCAATCCAAGCACTAGTTGTTCCTCCAGACTATCAGAAAGCAGCCCCCGCTGCTTCTCAAGCACCTAGGAAGTCAAATGTTGAGTTGTTATTAGAAAATTTCATTGCAACTCAAACTCAACAAAACAAAGAATTTACCAACCAGAATGTACACACGAGTGAGTTGCTAAAGAAAATGGCAACTAAGCTTAATGCAATGGCTACCCATACCAAAATGTTGGAAACCCAAATTACTCAAGTAGCCCAACAACAAGCATCAATAGCAGCCCCAGTCGAAGTATTTCCTGGCCAACCACAACCTAATCTAAAAGGTCATGTGAATGTTATCACATTGCGAAGTGGGATATAACTAGAAGGACCGGTAGATCCTAGAATTCAAAACCCATCCATGTATCAGAATTCTGGAAAAGTAACTAAGAAGTCGACGATGGACGACCAATCAGATAAAGCAAACGATGGTAAGGAAGATGACAAAAATGAATAGGCCATAGAGAAAGAAAAACCATATGTGCCTCCACCACCATATAAGCCACATATCCCTTATCCTCAAAGACTTGCTAAGTCTAAAAATGAGAGGTAATTTAAGAAATTCATAGAACTTCTTAAACAACTTAATATCACTATACCTTTCACAGAAGCTATTACGCAAATGCCCTCATACGCTATAATTCAAAACAATATGCCTCGAAAATTAAAAGATCCGGGTAGATTTTCCATACCACGTGTGATTGGAAAATGTGTCATAGATAAAGCATTATGCGACTTAGGGGATAGTGTCAGTCTAATGCCCCTTTTTATATGTGAAAAGTTCAAATTAGGAGAAGTAAGACAAACGAGGATGTCTCTGCAACTGGCTGGTCGTTCTGTCAAATTCCCTGTAGGTATGCTAGAGAACATTCCCGTTCAAATAGGTCAATTCTATATCCCTATTGACTTTATAATAATGGACATAAAGGAGGACTCCAACATTCCCATCATATTAGGAAGATCCTTTTTTGCCACTGTTGGAGCCACCGTAGATATGAAGAAAGGAAAGCTAACCTTCGAGGTTGGTGAAGAAAAAGTTGAATTTATCCTTTCACAATTCCTAAACGCACCAGCTATAGACGATTCATATTGTTCACTAGATATCATCGATGAATTCGTAAGAGAAATGGAGATGGAAAAATCTAAGTATAGTGAAATACTAAAGATTCCAGCGCCTCCTATAATAGAAGATGATGATTGGTGTAAATTATACGTATATGATAGTCTGAGGGAATGTTTAGCACTAAATCCTGATCCAATGCCTTGCCTAAAGAAACCTTCTGTAGAACTTAAAAAAATATGAGGTATGAATTTCTAGATACAGAGCTCGAACGCCCTGTAATAGTAAACCTAGACTTAGGGCAGATAGAAACTGATAAATTGTTACATGTCTTAAAATTTGAAAAGGATAAGTCCCTGAAACGTTTACCCCATACCCCTATGATTATACCCATACCCCTACATTTTTAAAAAATGCCAAGTTTATCCCTGTTTACTTTTTATTATTTTATTATTTTACTTTTTACTGTTCTTGTCAGACTCCCAGAGTTCCGAAAAATTCACCCCATCAAGATCGTTTCAGAACACTTTTGGAATGACTTTCGGTATGTATTTTTTCCACTCTGGAAGACTCTAGCTAAGAGTTATGGTTCATTACAAGACGTGTACAAAATGTGTTATAAAAAGACTTCTGGTTCTGAGACCTACTAATGACTATTCCGGAACACTTTCTATCATGTATTCCGGTTGGTTATAATGTGTACCAGAACAATTTTCCTAAGAGTTCCGGTTTGGTGACTTTGTGTACCGGAACACTTTTTTTTAATTCTTTTTTATTCTGGAGGTACGAAAATTCCTCCACAAATATGCGATAAAGGCCAAATATGTGTAGGTACGTATGATATTTTTTCATCTGCTCAAAGATTTGGTACACGAGAAGAGGTCATAAGATGGATTAAAGAGATCGGAATCCGAAATAAAGTAACAATTATCATCCCTCATTCAGATATTGAAACAGGCAAGAGAGGAAGAAGTAACATATTAATATTTGGTTGTGATAAAGGTGGGAAACACAAGGATACTAATAGTGGTATCCAAAGTGCAACAAAAAAATATGGATGTCCATTTAAAATCAGGTCGACTCCGGCAAAAGATAAGTTTGAATGGAAATTTGATGTAAAATATGAAGTTCATAACCATCGTTTACGTGATAGATTAGAAGGTCACTCCTTTGTTGGTAGGTTGACAGCAGATCAGAAGCAATATGTTGTTGATTTGACAAAGAGAAAGGTTCCACCTAGACATATATTGCTTTCCTTGCAAGAGCATGATCCAGAGAATCTCACTCAGATCACGCAAATATACAAGCAGAAGAGTATGATAGAAAAAGAGATACGAGGTTCTAGAAGTGAGATACAACATTTGTTTAAGCTTACTGAAGGTGCAGGTTATGTTTATTGGAGTAGAAAAAGAGATGACTCTGAAGTTATTAGAGATATATTTTGGTCTCATCCAGATTCAGTTAAGTTGTTGAATATTTTTCCTATTGTGTTAGTTATGGATAGCACTTACAAGATAAACAAATATAGCAAACCTCTGTTTAAAATTGTTGGCATGACATCAACCGAGTTGACTTTTGCTGTCGCATTTGCGTATATTGAGTCTGAGCAGACTGAGACTTTTTGTTGGGTGTTAGATAAGTTTAAAGAATTGTTTGTGAAGAAATATTTGTGCCCACAAGTGATTGTGACAAATAGAGATCTTGCTTTGATGAAAGCCGTTGAAACTGTGTTTCCAAGGTCGATCAATTTGCTATGTCGATTTCACATTAACAAAAATGTTGGTGCAAAATGCAAGCAACATGTGGTTAGTGACATGAAAAAGACGATCAAGGACTTATGGACGGAAGTTGTATGGGATAGTGATGAGATTGAGCATGATCAAAGGTTGAACCAACTTGAGCAGGCGTGCGTTGATTGTAATGAATTTATTGATTATGTGAAGGACATATGGTTGACACCACATAGATAAAGATTTGTTGGAGCATGGATTTAATCGATATGTATTTATTTTTAGTATTTCTAAATTGTATTTTTTTTTGTTTGTATTTTTTAAAGTATTTTTAATATGTATTATTTTTAGGGTTGAGTTTGCTCATTGGAAGTTAAAGCAGATGTTGCAGAATAGTATTGGTGACATGGTCGAATGTTGGGAGGCTATGAATGACAACTTAAAGTTAAAACTGGGCAAGATTAGAGCTTCTTTTCAAAAGAGTTTTTATGAAGTTGAGCATGCCCACGTAAGTCCATTTTACAATAATTTACGTGGTTTAGTGTCTCGAGCTGCATTGAGACGCATTGCTAAAGAGTTAACACGAGTTGATTATGTTGGAACTAACAAGGGAATATGTCGTTGTACTCTTAGAACAACCTATGGATTACCTTGTGCTTGTGAGTTGACAAGATATAGAATTGGTGGTATACCGATACCAATAGATGTTGTGCATGTTCATTGGAGGAAACTAAGTATGGAAGTTAAATTGGAGGAAGACGTAGATGATGGATCAGAGGTGGATATGAGTAGTGCAATAGATGATTTATGAAAAAGGTTTAGGTCACTAGATGTTGTTGGGAAAAGGGCATTAAAAAGTAGGGTTTTTGAACTTGCCTTCTCCATAATGACTTCTTTGTGTCCACCACCTGAGAAAATAAAAACCAAAAGGGGAGTCAAGAAGAAAGGCCAAAAACCAGTAGGGTATGATGTTTATAGGGACCCTTCGTATTATGAGTATGTTGATCAAGCATCTCAATCTTCACAGAGGCAATCTCAACCATCACAGATTTTGAAGAAGTTGAAATTATCACAATCTTCACAGAAGAAATCTCAACCATCACATGCTTTGAAGAAGTTGAAATTATCACAATCATCTAAGAAGTTCATCCTTCAGTTTCCTAATCACATCAGGTCATATATTGATGATGTAGTTAATGTTGTATCAGATAGTAATTGTGGATTTAGAGTCATTGCTTCATTGCATGGATATGGTGAAGATGGTTGGCGACTTGGGGTTGGAAATAATACATAATAAAATATCAAGTTTTTATGCCAATTTATTTACTGATCGATTAGCAGAAGTGAGAAAATCTTTGATGATAGAGGCATTTGGTCCTCAACCACCACATAAATGGTTGACTCTACTAGATATGGCTTACTTGATAGTGAATCGTTATAATGTTGTACTTGTTTGTTTAGGATTTAAATGCTGGACTTTCTTCCCTATGACAACTTCATTTTCATCAAATGTATCCTTTTACTGCATTGGTTTTGTAAACACAAATATTGGGTTCAGGTACTTAGTTATATTTAGTTAATATGACTAACCTAATTTTTTAGTTATTTTTACTTAACGCTTTTGATTATTTTTTTTATTCAGGTAAACATGAAAGAAGGGTTTCCATTGCCACCAGTGACAGTAGATTGGAAGAAGTTTCGTTCTCCAGCAGCAATATCTTGGATGCTCGGATTTGCAGGACGTATACAACATTGACAACAACTTACGCCTATATTACCAACGGATTATGAATTATAAATGATGTTATTCATTTTTAATTTCAAAACATGAATCATGAATTATGTTATTCATTTTTAATTTCAAAACATGAATCATGAATTATGTTATTCATTTTTAATTTCAATAACACATAATTAGATTCAAAACTAAACATAAGTTTACAAGTTAACACATAAACATAACCCAACTAGGTGAAGTGAGTCTAAAAGTTAATACATAAACATAACCATAAGTCAATAAGTCTAAAAGTTACTACATAAACATAACCATAAGTCAATAAGTCTAAAATTTAACACATAAAAATAAACATAAATATAAGTCAATGTGAACGAGCAATACGTAAAGCTTCGAACAACTCAGTAAACTGTGGATTATCCTCTTCAACACTAGTCTGTTGAAGATAATGATGAATCAATGAAGAAACACGAGCCCAACTAGGATCAGGCGGTCCTGCATCGTAAACAGGAACTGGAACCTCACTTGGCGCATCACGATGGGGCGGTAACAGACGAGAATGCGGAACAAGATAATACCACTGAAGATATCCATCATCTGTCTCAAATGGGGTAGTGGCCAGTGTTGTACGACGAATCAAATCCTCAATGCTTTGATGGTAACTAATCCACTCAACATCAATATCACCAGTCATCATATAATCAAGAGGTGGAGGTGGAACATGCTGCCTATATCCAAACTGACGCATACATCTGTCAAGAAAGTATGGAATAATAGTGTCACCCCACCTCGGACACCCCCTGTATATACATAACTCATCAAACTGATTCCATACTCTATGTTCCTCAAATGGGCGCCATATGAAATCGGAAGGTGTCAGTTCGTCCAGAATAGGTCGCAAGTCATCCACCTTCAAGACACATTGCCTATAGGACCATCTCATTGCTCGAGGGAGACCAACATTATTAGCTGGTATCCAATTCTCTCCTTCTTTTACAAGTGTTGGAAAATACTCATGAATCCAACACTGTTACAAAATTAATACTATTAGTCAATTTAAAATAATTAATTATAACATAATAAACTAGATAAACAAAATTAATATACTAATAAAATAAATTAAAATAAATACTTGTAGGAAAGTCGGATAACCACCGAGCTGCTTACAACTGAACATGGAAGCATCTCCAAGATATCTATAAAGGGTAACCAACACAGCTGCTCCCCAACTGTATTCTGATAAGCCCTCCAAGTCCATAAATAGTGAGAGGTATCGTGCCTTGACAAGTGTAAAGGTCTTGTCCACAAAAACCGTGGAACCCACTAACATCAACAAATATGCTCTAGTTGCATATGCTCATCTAGAAGCAGTTATATGCTCTACGAATCGATCATATAACGACTCCAAATTATAGTAAGAACCCCTACAGTCACGGACTTGTTATTGTGTCACTCTCTGTTACACTCATAAGTAATCAACAACCCACTCAACAGCAAGCCCTTCACTAACATCTTGAGGGCTCTAGAAGACTCCCCTGATGGGAAAGTGAAGCAAACAAGATACGTCATCCAGAGTAATCATCATCTCACCAAACGACATGTGAAATGAAGATGTCTCTAGATGCCATCTATCTACAAATGCAAAAACCAGATACGTATCTATCTTCGTTAAATTGGTTCTCTGGAGTGAAGATAGACCATACCTAGATACCCAACCCTCCATCTCTCTAGGAAGTTGCAGTGAAACCCTCTTAATTAGCTTCAACCCATGTCCTGCTACCTTTAACTCTTTCTTCGTACCTCTCTTCTAAAAACAATTAAAAGTAAATATATTATAAACTACAACATTAAAAATTCAGATTTTATTAAATATCAAATAGTTATCGTTTAGTTACCTCACCGAACCATATATGTCTAGCAATACGATGTTCGTACTTAACCAAAAGAGAGGTATTGTACGGTCCTCCTAGATATCCAACAGGTTGTGCACAAGTATGCTCTTCCTTAGCCATTCTCGATGGTTCGCCCCGTCCTAGACCGTGATCAGGGATCCTACTGTCCTTGCCTCCTGTGCGCACCACTGCCAAATAAAAACATTTGAAAAAAATTTTAAAAACCGAACCAGAACACTTCAATAATGAGTTCTGGTATGAATCTTAACGAAAATGTACCGGAAGACTTACATTAACAATTCCGAAAAATAAACGAAAAAAAACAGAATATCGAAAGACTTGCATTAACACTTCCGGTACGTAATCTCAAAAAACCAGAATACTGGAAGACTTCTTCAATATCTTCTGGTACGAAAAGGGAACCAGAAGATTTACTCTAACACCTCCGGTATACACTTTACGAACCAGAATACTTGTGATATGAGTTCTGGTATACAACAACAAAATTTATCACTCGGAAGACTTCAGCAGAAATGAAAATGGAAATAAGACTTTCTAAAATTACCACTATTTATATGAGGGTATTTTGGTCCAAAAAAATCTAGTGTAGGGGTATGGGTATAATTGTAGGGGTATGGGGTAAAATTTTCTAATCCCTTATATATACATGCATCACATTATGCTAGAGGAAGACTGCAAAACCTCTAGAGAACCCCATAGAAGGATTAATCTGATCCTGAGTGATGTAGTTAAGAGAGAGGTGCAGAAGCTGCTAGAGGCAGGAATTATATACCCGATATCTGATAGTAATTAGGTCAACCCAGTACATGTCGTGCCGAAGAAAATACGTGTTATAATTATTGATAGCGAGAAGGGTGAATCCGTAGCAAAACGTGTTATAACTGGATGGAGGATGTGTATTGATTATAGAAAGCTTAATAAACTCACTCGTAAAGATCATTTCCCTTTACCTTTCATAGATCAGATGCTTGAACGATTGGCTAAACACTCTCATTTATCTTACTTAGACGGTTATTCAGGATTCTTCCAAATCCTTATTCATCCTGATGACAAAAAATGTTTCAAAGATGCATGATGGCAATCTTTGCATATTTTCTAGATGACATCATGGAAGTATTTATGGATGATTTTTTCGTTTGTGGGCAGAGTTTGAAGGATGTTTGATGAACCTATAAATGGTAGTAGAAAGATGCGTAAAAGTTAATCTCGTACTTAATTGGGAAAAATATCATTTCATGGTCCGATAAGGAATAGTGCTTGGACACATAGTGTCAGATAAGGGGATTGAGGTTGGTAAAGCTAAGATAGGTGTCATAGAGAACCTTCAACCTCCAAAAACCATTATAAAAATACATAGTTTCTTAGGACACGTTGGTTTTTACCGACGATTTATAAAAGATTTCTCTAAAATAACTAAACCCCTGACTAGCCTGTTAATGAAAGACACTAAATTCATTTTCGATGAAAAGTGCTTTGAGGCATTCCAATTATTAAAAAAGGCTCTGATTAATGCACCTATTATGCAACCTCCTGATTGGAGTAAAACTTTATAAATAATGTGTGACGCTAATGACTATGCCATAGGTGCAGTCTTAGGACAACACAAGGACAAGAAGCTTCATGCGATTTATTACGCAAGTAGAACTTTAGATGAAGCACAAATGAACTACGCCACCACAGAGAACGAACTCTTAATCATTGTCTTCATATTATATAAGTTATGTTCCTATCTAGTGGGAACAAAGATAATTGTCTACACCGATCACGCTGCAATCAGGTACTTATTAAGCAAAAAGGATGTTAAACCAAGGCTTTTGAGATGAATCCTACTACTTCAGGAATTTGATCTAGAGATTAAGGATAAGAAAGAAACTGAGAATGTAGTAGCCGATCACCTATCTAGGATTGATACCATAAAATCCGAACAAGTACCCATCAACGATGATCTCCCTTATGGCAGACTAGTAACCCAGTTAGGAAGTAACACGTTGAATGTTCTCTAATTTATAATGACGCAGAAACTGATGAAGTTCTGGAAGCGGTCTACACCAAAAATGTGGTGCCATGGTATACTGATTTTATCAACTACCTAACAGCCAAAGTACTTCCACCAAACTTAACTTATCAACAGAAGAAGAAATTCTTTCATGACTTAAAACATTACTATTGGGATGAGCTCCTTCTCTTCAAGAGAGGCGTCGATGGAATTTTCCGTTGATGTGTCCCCGAAGAAGAGGTAGAAGATATCATATCCTATTTCCATGTTATACCTTATGGTGGGTATGCAAGCACATCTAAGACATGCATGAAAATCTTACAATCAGGCCTATTCTGGCCTAGTTTATGGAAAGATGTCCATACCGCAGTTATAAATTGCGACTGGTGTCAATCCACTAGGAACATCTCTAGGCACGACGAGATGCCTCTGAAAGGTTTCTTAGAACTGGAAGTCTTTGATGTGTGGGGTATTGAATTTATGGGCCCCTCCTCATTTTCTTTTGGTAACAAATACATACTTGTAGCTGTTGATTACGTTTCAAAGTTGACAGAGGCCACAACCTCTCCTACAAATGACGCACAAATAGTTATTAGGCTTTTTAAGAACATCATATTTCCAAGGTTCGGCATGCCGAGACTCGTCATTAATGACGGTGGCTCCTATTTCATTTCAAACATCTTTGGAAGACTATTACTTAAATTTGGGGTCCGACATCGAGTAGTAACACCTTACCACCCTCAAACGAGTGCACAAATTGAGATTTCCAATAGAGAAATTAAGAAAATACTAGAAAAGACTATTGTGACTTATAGGAAAGATTGGTCTGTAAAACTTCATGAAGCTCTGTGGGCTTATAGGACAACTTATAAAACTCCAATAGAAACCACTTCGTTTAAACTAGTTTATGGTAAATTGTGTCACCTACCGGTCGAATTAGAAACAAGGCTTATTAGGCCATTAAGACCCTAAATATGAATTACACTTCTGCAAGGGAGAAGAGAATACTAGATATCCATGAACTAGAAGAACTTAGACTATATGCCTATGAAAATGTCTGGATTTACAAGGAAAGAACTAAACAGTGGCGTGATAAGTGAAAAGAAAGGAGATAATTTAATGAGGGAAATGTAGTCCTTCTCTTTAATTACCAACTGGAATTGGTTCCAAGCAAATTGCATTCTAGATGGTCTGACCCTTTTGAGGTCATACAACTTTTCCAAAGTGGAGCGGTAGAAATAAGAGGAAAATCCAATGAGACATTTGTTATAAACGGGTGGCAACTTAAGCACTACCATAACATAGAGAATAAGGATTTTTACATGAGATACAAATTAGAAGAGTTGCTCGCTCTTTCAAAAGAATAATCCCTTATAAATTAATGTCGAGCTTTCGATATTAAATGAAGCGCTACGTGGGAGGTAACCCACGATTCTAAGTTTAGATTTTCGTTTTTCATTTACTCTTATTTTAATTTTAATTTTTATTTTTATTCTCTTCAAACACTTCTATGAGGTACAATTAACTGTTCTAATCACTACTAACTAAATCTTTGTCTACTTTCAGGCTAACTTGACACTAACTTTAGAGAATGCATCCTGTTGATGATATGGAGGTTGTCTATAGGAACAAAGCGTAGAGGAGATGTTTCAAAGCATTAGCTCAGAGAGATATGGAATTGTCTATTTATCCTGACAGACCCACCATGACCATTTTAGGGATCTGAGATAGCGTGATGTATCTTCTTAGCCAGATAGGTTGGGATAATTTTGTTGTGAGGAGGTTTAGCATATACCGTAGGCTAACCCTTGAGTTCCTGAGTTCCTTTTTATATGATCCTAACAGAGGGTTAGGATTTAATAGGGGTCTAGCTACCTTTAGACTTTTTGGGACAAAGTACCATTTCACACACCGTGAGATGGCTGAACTGTTAGGATTTCCTAATGGCCCAGATGTTTTTACCATAGCTCAGGAAGATGCTTTCACTAATCATAACCGAATACTACCATCCCGAGCTAAATTCCATGTTTTTTGAAAGCATTCACAACCCTGATATCCGTTACTTCCACAAAATCCTAGCCCTCACACTATTTGGGAAAGAGGCAAACATTACCTCTATTTCTAGAGACAGGATTTTCATCATGTTCTGTGTCTCCCAAGGTAGATCCGTTAATGCTGCGGCATTCATGTTAGATAATCTAGACAGGATTTCGCAAGAGACCCATGGACCTATCCTCGTAGGAGAATTAGTTACTATGATTGCTGCTGCCATAGGCCTAAGATACCCCATTAGCTGTTTGCATGCTTTGAGTGGTATCCATCCTATGCATATTAACTTTTGTTTCAAACGTGGCATTATTGCAAATCTGGGACCAATAAAAATTGAGCTGCTTATTGATAACCAAGTGGTACATGATTTTACATTACCTAACCATGAAAAGACGAGTGTACACAACAGGAATAACTGACTATACAATTTAGAGGGCCACAGTGAGTCACCCACTCTATCTGATACCCCTCAGACCTATGAGAACAGAAATGTCATTTTCTCTTATGATGCTTCATTCGCCTCTGGTGTCCTTGCAGAGCCTCCCGTTGATCATATTGCTGTAATTGACGTCCTCAGGACGGAAATTGCTACACTTAGAGGAGACCTCACCACCTTGCGTGTAGATTTTCTTGGATATATGGATGTTGCTAATGAGCACCTCGATCACTTATTTCAGCAAATTTATTCTATGAGGCGATTCTTTGAGCATAATTTTACACGTCGTGGAGACTAGTGTTGGTTTATTTGTACTGTTTTATGTTTCCTTTTTTAATTAAGCATTTTATTGTATTCCCGAGTAAGGATGTCAATTTGCACCCGTTAACGGGGATCCCTGTGGGGATTATCTCCGAAGTCGAGGATTTTTCCCCTGCGGGGACAGGGATGGAGGGAAATGTTTCCCAGATGACACTTTGGTGCGGGGATTGGAGAAGTACCCTACGCCTCGCGGATTCCCCGACCCCAACTATAATATTTAACTTTATATTATATAATTTGGCATGTTTATTTTATAAAAAAAGTAATTAACATATTAGGAAATGAAGAGTCATAAGT